CCTGTGATGTACCAGTGATCTGTGCAGGGATTGGCACCAGCTTTGCTGCGACCTGATATCATCATCATCATAGTTTATTTATATAGCACTTTAAAAACACACAAGGCTGACCAAAGTGCTGAACAGTAGAAATATAAGAGATACAATAAGAATAATATCTCAATGAATCAAATACCTACAAATAATATTTTAAACAATTACTATTATACTATTACTATCACACAGTCACTTAGGTCACTAGTTCTTTCTCTTTCTCTTTCTCAAACACCACACAGAGACCTTCATGTGTTTGAAAACCAACTATTTACTGGTACAAAACAAAATCATCTGGACTAATCAGATGGATCAGCTGAAGGGCAGGATGCATCTCTCAGGTCTATCAGCTGAAGGATTTTTTTCCTATTTCTTAAGGGCATGATTTTCAGATACTGTTCGTCTGCTGTAGATAGTTTCTTAGGCCTGTCACTTCTTCTGTCTTCCACTTGTCCTTTTAAGGACACTCTGCACACCACGTTGAGATATGCCAAGTTTTCAGCTAATAGCACTTTGGGAATCACCTTGTTGCTGCAAAAAATATGATTTGATGCCTGTCAAACTGTTATCTTTGGCATTTTTTGGAGATTCAACTAAAGAAATGAGAACAAATTATGTGTTCTTATGACAGTCTGTTGGTAACAAACTATCTAACGATAAAAAATTTACAAGTTGTCTGTAGAACACTGGTTCATCCCTTGATTTAGGTGGCTTTTTATGCTAGTGATAAGTGTCTTAACAAACAAAAAAACATATATATGGTCAGGTGCAAGGTCTGAACTAAAAAAGAGTGAAAAATTTGCCAGTGTCCAGTGGAGAGCTTTGAAATCCTGGGGAGCTGTTGTTCAAGACCACTTTAAAAATGACAAGAAAATCTGGCTACTTAGGAAAAATATAAAGAGATGAGGCTTGTTTTGGTGGCTCCGTATTTTTTTCATTATTACTTTTTCATTTTAGCCACTTCGATGACCTTCTGTGTACTCATGCTAAGTCAACACCAGCGTCCTTTTCATCTTTTCAAGTCAAGTCTGTTTTTGTCACAGCTTGGTCCTGAAGCATCTACACAAGCCTAATTTCTACTCCCATCCACAGCCATGAATGGATGAAAACATCATTTGCATATAAAATTGCCATTTCCACCAGAAGTTATTGGACATAGCAAAGAAACAAAGCAGCAAACAAGCAATTTCACTGAATGTGAAACTGAGACACTCATCTGAGAAGTGGAGAAAAGGGAATGGGTTTTATTTGGTGCCCTCAGCTTTGGAAATACAAACAGAATCAAACCCACTGAATGGGAAAAAAGAACTGAAGCTATCAACTCTGTTAAGTTCAGAGTAAAAGGACCCTAGCAGAAAATAAAACAAAGAAAGAAAAGGCACTACAGACCAGAGGCAAGAGGAGTTTGGAGAAAGACAGACAGTCATTACGCACAGCTGCAGCTTTTTCCTAAAGTTTTCGAAATGTAACACACTCAAAAAATGTTCTTCACCCTCAGTAAACATGAAGCAATAATTTTGATTAAAATGCAACTGAGATGCACAAAACGAAAGGTTTATTCATTCAAGTAATTAATCATTAAGGTATAAACTCAATGCATTGCAATCAAGTAAATTTTATTTGACCAGATTCCATTAAATGGAACATTTTACATTGTACTTATGTGGGAAAACTTAAACATAGGTGCTAGGGCTGCACGATTAATCGTTAGAAAATCACAATCTCAATTCATACTTATGTGCGATCTCATTTCCAAATGACAACGATTTTTT